GATTTGAATTTTTTTTTTGCTATAAATGGGATAGATGTTGGGTTATAATTCACACAACTTTGAATTCAATCTATTTCAATTCAAATTTGCAATGAATTCCAACTTTGGATCCTCTTCGGATTCTAACTGGGGGTCCTCATCCAATTCCAAATTGGAAGAAAAATGGGCGCAAATGAGACGAGAAAATAAGAAGTCTGATGAAGAAGTTCAAGTAAGGCGCAACAAACAAAACAGAGCAGCAGCCATGGCTGCGGCCATGGTGTGTCAGCCAACTGAGGAACAACTTCAATGGGGTGGTTTTGTTGCTGGTCGCTCTTACAAACCACGAAACAGAGCAATGAAGCATGCTAATCTGATGAACAACTACTTCAACCCCAACTCAGTGTACACAGAAGAGGATTTCAGACGTCGCTTCCGGATGAGGCATCATGACTTCGAGCATATACTTCGTGATGTCTAGCAGGTCAATCCATACTTTCGACAGAAGCGGGACTAAGGACGCCCTGGTTTCTCACCTCATCAAAAGATTACTGTTGCACTTTGAATGATGGCATATGGCTCCCCAGCTGATTCGATGGATGAAACCCATGGCATGTCTGAGTCTACATGCCTTGATACTCTTGAACAATTATGTAACACAATTGTTCATGTTTACAAAGACGAGTACCTCCGTAAGCCAAATCAAGAAGATCTGAATCGGCTTATTCGCAAAGATGAAGACCGTGGGTTTCCGATCATGATAGGGTCATTAGACTGCATGCATTGGGATTGGAAAAATTGTCCCACCGGATGGCAATGAGGCTTATGCGGAAGGTCGAGAAAGCCAACTGTTGTGTTAGAGGAGTTTGCCTCATATGACACATGGATCTGGCATGCTTTATTTGGAGTCCTTGGATCCCAAAATGACATTACAGTTCTTGAGCGTTCACCCATCTTCAATTGCCTGAATGAAGGTAAAACACCTCAACTTGACTACTCCATCAATGACCGTCAATAAAATATGGGGTATCACTTGGCAGATGGCATCTACCCAAAGTGGGCGACATTTGTCCAAGCAATTCCAAACCCTAAGAATGACGCGGAAAATTTGTTTACCTTACACCAAGAGGCATACCGGAAAGATGTTGAGAGAGCTTTCAGTATTCTATAAACACGGTGGAAGATCATCAGCGAACTGGCAAGATGGTGGAGTCAAGAAAATTTGGACTCCATCATGATGTCTTGCATCATATTACACAATATGATAGTGGATAATGAGCAAGATGGGTATATTGATGGAAAGTCCGATGATGACAAAGAAGATCCAAATAGGTCAAGAAGGGCTCGTGCAAAAATATATGATGGGCCAAATTTGCCTTTCAATCCAAGAACTGGTAGTATCTCTATAAATGAGTACATGAGGCGCTATAGAATGATACGTTCTCGCACCACAAACAAGTACCTACAACAGGATCTTGTTGCACATCTTTGGGCCAAAAATAGCTTGGAGTAGGCGTTTAAGTTTTATGTTGTATAATTTTTATGTTGGTTAATGTTATTTAATGTTGTTTCATATTGTTTAATGTTGTTTCATGTTACTTAATTTAATTTAATGTTGTATAATGGCTTAGGAAGTTATAGGAAAAAAATAGAATTTAAAAAATATATGAAACAAATTTTGTAAAATAGAAGTTATAGGAAAAAAAATAGAATTTAAAAAAAATATGAAACCAATTTTGTAAAATAGAAGTTATAGGAAAACAATATAAAACAAATTTTGTAAAATAGAAGTTATAGAACAAAAATAGAAGTTATAGGAAAAAAATTGTGTAAAATAAAATAAAATTGTAAAAAAATAAAATAAAATAACGGCTAGCTGACGTCAGCTAGCCGTTGCATTTGAAATTTGGCTTAGAATTCCTGTCGGATATAACCGAGAGGAATGCTAGATTTAATGACTGGCTGGCTGGATTGGGTCAGCCGGTTGGCCCTTTGGCCTTTTCAGATTTCATGGGGCCCACGAGCCCTCTGGCCTAGCAGTTGGTTAGAGAAGGTTTTCGGGCTATTTTCGACCTTCTGGCCCTCTGGACCCTTAGGTTGGAGATGGCCTAAGGTCTTTTTTTTTTTTCTACCCACTATGTGTCTCAATTTTAAACAATTGCGCATCATCAATATAGTTACACTTTTACACATTCGACGTACCTATGCACCCATTACATATGTACAATCGACCAAACCACATGTATGTACTCGATTATTAAATTTGTCATAGAGTACAAGAATTTGAATTTGCTTTCACTAAGTTCGTCATAGTGTCACAATTCGTAATTAATATTGATAAATTATCAACGTCATTAATATTTTCTACTATCTAAAATGATTTGGTTGTCTCCATAATTTTTTAACCGTGCACCCTTTTAAATCCGCCCCTCCCCTCACCAATTCCTGGCGTCATAGTGTCACTGAAATGTGGTGTGTTGTGGAAGATGATGGCTGGGTATTTATAAGAAAAATTATAATTCTTTATATTTTTCTGATTTTTTTAAAAATAATTTATCTCAAACTTAATTAATATGGACTGTTGGATTACATTTTTTTTTTGCAATCCAACAACCCTGGTTTTGTCACATCACCAAATGGTAACTTTAATTTTTTTTCTAGATTTTTTTATTTTATTTTATAAGTTGTAAGACCATGACTATTCATTACAAACCTAACATCCTAGATTTGAACATGTGGCCCAGCTGTTTCAATTTTTTTTACTGTTGGGAATCCTACGGCCCAGAAATATAGTAGTTGGAAATCCAACGGTTGAGAAAAACCCGCATCACCCCCTTTTAGAAGAGTCCGAGTGTGCTTGCAAGTGGGCCCCGCCACCTGCCTTTGGTCAGCTCACTCGCCATGTTTCGTGGGTTAAAATCATGGGCCTGAAGCAAAAAAAAATTAATAACGTGGATGATGTTACATATCATCGTATAATCAAGTATCAAGTCATCATTAAGGGAAATGGGTCCTCTCCGGATCCCTTCGTCATAATCCACCAAGCCCGAGAATCCGGGCATTGAAATTTGATCCAACTGGTAAAGTTATTATAACTTTTAAAGTGGGCCCCTTTTTGTAGCCGTTGGATCAAATTTCAATGACCCGGATCCCCGACCTTGGTGGATTGGGAGGAAGGGATTCAGAGAGTATCCCTTTCCATCATTAATAACAAGGTAGAGTGCAGTGCAAAATCTTTGTCTATACCCGTTAATCCATAAAAGTCTACCATATTTCCCCTACCTAGATTCCGACCTTAGCTTTTACTTTCTCACCATGTCCAAAAGTTGTGCACCAAACTCTTGAGCAATTTATAGGTTAGCACCTTACGTGCTCTAATTCCCCACTTTGTTCCTTTTCTTTGTGTAGAGTCCAGCATATGGCACTTAAAACATGTGGCAAGGCAAGTGCATCTCAAGTGTTCTCGAGGTGGCTGGCAAATTGATCACTCTTGGCTAATTCCAACACTTGTGGCTGCCATGTGTCATTGACACATTGGTCCAACATGAAAATACCTTAAAAATTCATTCAAGTTCCGAAAGGTACTCTAAACTCGTAATGACATCCACAATCTTTCCATGAATACATTCTCAATAAATAATCTAAACATATTTTTCCAAATATTTCTCTTATTTGATAATAAATTCTTGAGATCTCACAATCCATCCTCCTTAAAATAAATATCGTCCCACGAGGTTTACATTAACACTCGATTACTTGACAAGTCCAGAGTTTTCACCTTTGATCAGACTCTAATTTTCATGTCAATCCATTGTTGCATGTACAGTAAGTATTCATATAATTCTCCAAGTTGAGTTTGAAATCTTAAGTGATTGATTACGCGTATTTATATCTAGTACTTAGTCCAACACACATAAATCCCAAGAAAATTGTGGGTACCTTTGCACATTTTTCTTAGTATGATGTCTTTCGTATTCCACTAATTCTTATTCCATAAACCATGAACATTCCACCATCGAGTATCAAAGATCCAATGGCTAGTCAGTCCCTTAACTGTAGTGAATGACAATAATTACATGAAGGGGTGTGATATCCACATACCCCTTTTTAATTCTCCCACACCTTTTTGGTTTTCGACCGTCGGATCGGATGAATTGAAGAATATCACCAGACAAAAATTAACAAAGGGTGTGTGAGAAGTAAAAAGGGGCGTGTAGATAGCACACCCCTTGCATGAATAAGAAAAGAAACAAATTTCGGATACTTTTTAGTCATTACAATACAAGTAAAATCTACTAAGTAGTGAACTATTTAACAAATGTAGGTGGATATCTAAATGTCAGATACCTGTTCCCCAAGGGCGAAGCTACATAGGGGCAGGGAGGGGCGGTCGCCCGTCCCCTAGCCTGAAATCAAGGCCAGGAGCGGTGATTCCGCCCCTTTGGTCCCGTCGGAAGTGAGCAACCGTTTGGTTCTCTGGTTTTTGGTGCTCTGCAGCAGAGCCAAATGATGCTGTGTTTCTGTTTTCAATTTTCAAACCCAGGCCAAACGACGTTGTTTGGGACCTGGGCAAAGAAATTTATTTTTAAGTAGAACGGTGCGTTTAGGTTCTATTAAAAAACTGATAGCATGAGACCATGCTTTATGAGAAATTTTATTTAAACTCATATAACATATTTTTACACCCAACTTACTCTTTGCACCATTTGATTTTTAACTAAACTATTAAGATCTCTTTAAACCCAAATTTGATACCTAATATACCCCCATAAACCCAATTCAATATGTGAATTTATTTTTACACCCATTTGATTTTTAGAAGCTAAATTTGATGTGTTTAGACCTAAGTTCTTTGCATGGTTTTCCACAACACAAAAGCTGATAATTCAATTGTTGAAAGATGTCAAGAAAGGCAGTGAAAGGATAAAGTGGATGGACAGAGAACCTTATGCATACTGGAAAGGGAACCCTTTTGTTGTTGATACGAGGAAAGACTTAACTCAAAAATGCAATGTCTCAGAGACACAAGACTGGAATGCTCGCCTATTCATCCAGGTACCGTTAAAGATAAAAACTAATTTCGTTTAAACCAATGGCATATGTTATCAACAACATTAACTTTTGATTGAAAACCCAATTAGCCAATAAATCTACAAACTAATTAGGTATAATTTCAGGATTGGATTCTTGAATCTCAACAAGGCTTCAAGCAATCAAATGTAGCAGACCAATGCACACACATGTATTTCTTGTAGACATATAAATAAAATTCTCTTATTTGGTAATTAAATTTCACTTTAATTGTCATTCCGTTTTATCATGATTTATGCAGGTACAAGATCTATATTGAGGGTTATGCATGGTCTGTGAGCAAGAAGTACATTCTAGCATGTGATTCAGTAACATTGCTGGTAAAACCGAAGTACTATGATTTCTTCACAAGAGGTTTGCAACCAGTGCACCATTACTGCCCTAGAAGGCATGAAAACAAATGTAGATCCATTAAGTTTGCTGTGGATTGGGGCAACAACCACAAACAAAAGGTGACTCCTCTTTCTAATTAACTTTCCATTTTTTCGTAATTTATGGTATTGTCCTTTTTAAACTCTGAGCAGAGCTATTTGTGCCACATTTATAGAGGTGCGGTCAACAATGTGATCCCCCTAGCATTACTCTGGAAGTTTATACTCTACGGTTTTTGTTACTTACGGATTTTGGAACAGGCACAAGCAATTGGAAAAGCAGCAAGCGACTTCATTCAGGAGGAGCTAAAGATGGACTATGTGTATGACTTCATGTTTCATTTGTTCAATGAATATGCTAAACTCTTAAGATTTGAGCCACGAATATCCAAAGGCGCTACACATTTGTGCTCGGAGAGTATGGCTTGTCCTGCAGATGAGTCGCCTAAGAAGTCTATGACCGAATCATTGGTTAAGAGTCCATCACCAATAGACCCTTGCACCATGCCTCCTCCCTATGAACCCCGAGCTCTTGCAAAGTTGTACAGGAGGAATATTAATCAATTACACAAGTGCAACAGTGGGAAGATAAATTTGATCGTAGGGTTTAATTATAATGTTTGGGTTTATTGTTAAATTTAAGTTTTATTATTAATTTCATTTTGTACTTAATATTAATTATGCAATAGGGTAACATAGACAATTAACAATTACAATTTTAAGTTGGGTGTAAAAAGAGATTGAATGGGTTTAAATAAAATTTCCCATGCTTTATTTGTCGTTTAGTAGCATGTGATCGTCGGAGACTTATCATTAACAATTAAGATCCTTCTAGTCTTCTTTCTCGTGGGATTTTTTAAAGATTTCAAGGCCAAAACTTTCCTAATAATTTCGATATGGAATAGGAGCTGATTTCAAGGCTTTGATTTTTCCTTTTGAGTCGGAATTGATTTCATTCTAAATTTTTTTTATGATTGTCTATCTCTTATGCATGAGTGCTAGCATTTAGAATTGGAACTGACAGTTAGCACAAGAGTTAGAGAATTATGAAAGGTTTCAAAGCTTTAATTTTTCAAGGTCTTCTGTTTGGCTCTATTGTTCTCGTCTCCTCCTCTGTTGAAACTGAGACATCCCAAGATAATAAGAAAGGTTAATTAATTATTAATTAGTGCATGCAGTCTTTTTTTCTTTATATATGCTAGCTAGTTAAATATTAGTCTACGCTGTGGTAGATAAGGTCCTTTTTTTTCAACCCACTATGTGTCTCAATTTTAAACAATTGCGCATTATCAATATGGTTACACTTTTACACATTCGACATACCTATGCACCCATTACACAGTCGACCAAACCACATGTATGTACTTGATTATTAAGTTCGTCATAGAGTACAAGAATTTGAATTTGTTTTCACTAAGTTCGTCATAGTGTCACAGTTTGTAATTAATATTGATAAACTATGAACGTCATTAATATTTTCTACTATCTAAAATGATTTGGTTGTCTCCATAATTTTTTAACCTTGCACCCTTTTAAATCCGCCCTTCCCTTCGCCAATTCTTGGCGTCATAGTGTCACTAAAATGTGGTGTGCTGTGGAAGATGATGGTTGGGTATTTATAAGAAAAAAATATATAATTCTTTATATTTTTCTGAATTTTTTAAAAATAATTTATCTCAAACTTAATTAATATGGACCTTTGGATTACGTTTTTTTTTTTGCAATCCAACAACCCTGATTTTGTCACATCACCCAACAGTAACTTTAATTTTTTTTTCCAGATTTTTTATTTTATTTATAAGTTGGAAGACCAGGACCGTTCATTAGAGCAACTCCAGCATTGCAAAGGCCCCTAGGGCTACTCACTATTGAATCCACCTAGTGAACAATAACTGCATTTTGCATCTCCACCCCTAAACTGAATAGCCATGACAATAGGTAATAAAATATTAGTATTTTTTATTTTATAAAATAATACAAAATAATTTTATTTGTAATTTTGAATAAGATTTTTAATCATTCTCGTTGCGTCACGTGTTATTATCCGAAAAGACAATTATTGGTGATAGATTTCGATAAGATTTTTATCCAATGCCGTCGTGCCACGTCGCGCCACATGTCATAATTTGTTTACAATCTTTAACCAATCACGTCGCGCCACATGTCATAATCTGCTTACAATCTTTGAGGATAGATTTCGATCAGATTTTTAATGAATGACGGCATGCCGCGTGGCATTATCTACAACCTAATCCTTTCTTTTTCCTCCATATAACCCACCATCCATCCTAAGAAATCACATACCAAAATCAAAATCAAAATCTCTATCATTATTCATAGTTTATGCTTCCTTCTTACAATGTCTTATTCTTCAAGAATGTTGTGGGAAATCGAGGAGCAAGAGAAAAAATTGTTTAAGCAAGGGGAATAAATGTTCAATCTCCAAGTGGCCCAAAATGAGATGGAAGAGGATGAGGATGAGGATGAGGAGTGTAGAATGAGAGATGATGAAGCAAGAAGCCAAAGAGCCTCACATTCCCATTGAGTCATTCAAGTTGGGGCTCATATCTGCAGGCCAAGCCATTCCTGTATTGAGTCCATCAAGTTTTTGGCGAGTAAAGGTTTTTGATGAACTTCATTCAAGCCCTGCAGCGGGCCATGAGGGTTTCCTTAAAACATATAAGAGGATATCCCGGTCATTCTATTGGGAAGGGATGAAGAAGGACATCAAGGAACGGGTCGCAACATGTGCTATATGTCAACAAAATAAGTATGAGACTTTGTCCCCTCCTGGTCTCTTACAACCATTACCAATCCCAACTAAAGTGTGGTCTGAAATTTCAATGGACTTTATAACTTCCCTTCCACCTTGTAAGGGTAAAACTGTGATTTGGGTTGTTGTTGACAGATTGTCCAAATATGGCCACTTTCTGGCGTTAAGTCATCCTTATACAGCTTCTCAAATTGCTCAACTTTTTGTTGACAACATATTCAAGTTACATGGTATGCCACAATCCATAGTCAGTGATAGGGATCCAATCTTCATGAGCAAGTTTTGGAAAGAGTTCTTCCATTTGCAAGGTTCTGCACTTTGTTTTAGCTCGGGGTATCACCCACAAACCGATGGACAAACTGAAGTTCTCAATCGGTGTCTGGAAACCTATCTACGATGTTTTTGTAGTTTGCAACCCAAGAAATGGGTCAGTTGGTTGTCTTGGGCAGAATGGAGCTACAACACTAGCTTCCATTCTGCTATTAAAATGAGCCCATTTGAAGCTGTGTATGGTTCTGCTCCTCCTGTTATTCCCGCTTATGAACCAGGTACAACTACGGTGGAATCCGTGGAATAGTGTTTGAAGGAAAGAACCAGAATTTTGTCACTGCTGAAATGTAATTTGGAAGCTGCTCAATGTCGAATGAAAGTCCAAGCTGACAAGAAGATGATTGAAAGGGCTTTTGAAGTGGGCGATTTGGTTTACCTTCGATTGGTTCCTTACCAACTTAAGTCACTGGCAGCTCATTCCTTCCACAAACTTCAGCCTCGATTTTTTGGGCCGTTTTTTGTGTTAGCTAAAGCGGGTAATGTTGCTTACAAAATTAAGCTTCCTGATCACTCCAAACTGCACCCTGTGTTTCATGTCTCTTGCCTGAAAAAACATCTTGGAGGTACTTTTCAAGCTTCAGTTCCTTTACCGGTGTTGACAGATGATGGGATATTGCAGGATGTTCCGATTGCAATTTTGGATCGCAGAATAGTTAAGACGAATAACTTGGCTATAACAGAAGTCTTGGTTCAGTGGTGGAATCATTCTCAGGAGGATGCTACTTGGGAAGTCTACCACGAATTGAAACACAAATTTCCATAAATTGTTCATCTTTGACTATCTTGTTTTGAGTGTCAGCATGCTTAGTTGACTATTCGCATTGTATTGTAGTTACATTTGTTGTTGTTTTTGTGCTCTGTAAGTTCAGTTTTAAGGGGGGGTATTGTTAGGAGTCTGTGACAGATGGCATAATTCTGTTGGTAATAGTTGGATGAGAGTTAGTTGGGTGGGTTGTTTGTTAGAACTCACTACATATAACGAATTGTAAAGGAAGTTGAGATAGGAATGAAATTGTGAATGTTCTCTGTATTCTCTCTGTGCAATCTCTCGAAGACGTAGCTAGGTCTTAACAGCAGTCTTCTTTTAAATCCGCCCCTCCCCTCGCCAATTCCTGGCGTCATAATGTCACTGAAATGTGGTGTGCTGTGGAAGATGATGGTTGGGTATTTATAAGAAAAAAATATAATTCTTTCTATTTTTCTGAATTTAAAAAAAATAATTTCTCAAACTTAATTAGTATGGACCGTTGGATTACATTTTTTTTCCCAATCCAACAACCCTAATTTTGTCACATCACCCAACAGTAACTTTAATTTTTTTTTCTACATTTTTTATTTTATTTTATAAGTTGGAAGACTAGGACCGTTCATTAGAGCAACTCCAGCGTTGCAAATGCCTCTTAGGGCTACTCACTATTGAATCCATCCAGTGAACAGTAACTGTCTTTTGCATCTCTACTCCTAAACTGAATAGCCATGGTAATAGGTAATGAAATATTAATATTTTTTATTTTATAAAATAATACAAAATAATTTTATTTGTAATTTCGGATAAGATTTTTAATCATTATCGTTGCGTCACGTGTTATTATCCGAAAAGACAATTATTGGTGATAGATTTCGATAAGATTTTTATCCAATGCCGTCGTGCCACGTGTCATTACCTTTTCAGAATCGTTGATGATAGATTTTTAACCAATCACGTCGCGCCACGTGTCACAATCTGTTTACAATCTTTGAGGATAGATTTCGATCAGATTTTTAAAGAATGACGGCATGCCGAGTGGCATCATCTACAACCTAGTCCTTTCTTTTTCCTCCATATAACCCACCATCCATCCTAAGAAATCACACACCAAAATCAAAATCTCTATCATTATTCATAGTTTCTACTTCCTTCTTCACCAAAATCAAAATCAAAATCTCTATCATTATTCATAGTTTATGCTTCCTTCTTACAATGTCTTCTTCTTAAAAAATGTTGTGGGAAATCGAGGAGCAAGAGAAAGAATTGTTTAAGCAAGGGGAATAAATGTTCAATCTCCAGGTGGCCCAAAATGAGATGGAAGAGGAAGAGGATGAGGATGAGGACCGTAGAATGAGAGATGATGAAGCAAGAAGCCAAAGAGCCTCACATTCCCATTAAGTCATTCAAGCTGGGGCTCAGATCTGCAGGCCAAGTCGTTCCGCAAACATTGATAGAAGCAAGCAACGACGAGGTAAAGATGTTTTGGACGATTATTTTGTCTGTAACAGTGCATTCCCTGATACGTACTTTAGATGTCGTTTTAGAATGGAACGACATTTGTTCAACAAAATCGTGATTGCTGTTTACAACCATGATTCTTACTTTGTGCAAAAGAATGATGCTTTAGGTGTTACGTTCTTGAGTCCCTGATGAGGTTTTTATCCGCAATCGAATCTCTCTACACTGCAGAATATCTCCAGAAACCTACTCAAAAAGCCTCACATTCCCATCGAGTCATTCAAGTTGCAGCTCAGATCTGCAGGCTCAGCCGTTCCACAAACAATGATAGAAGGAGGCAATGATGAGGTAAAGATCTTTTGGACGATTATTTTGTCCGTAACAGTGCATTCCCTGATACGTACTTTAGATGTCGTTTTAGAATGAAACGACATTTGTTCAACAAAATCATGATTGTTGTTTACAATCATGATTTTTACTTTGTACAAAAGAATGATGCTTTAGGTGTTACAGGTCTCATTCCTGAGCAAAAAATTACTGCTGCCTTGCGGATGCTTGCATATGGAGCATCTGCAGATCAAGTGGATGAGATAGCGAGGATGGAGAAATCAACCATTCTTGAGTCCCTGATGAGGTTTTGCTCCGCAATCGAATCTCTATACACCGCAGAGTACTTCCGGAAAACCTACTGAGATGGACTTGCAAAGGCTTCTGAAGAAGGCCGTGATGCGAGGTTTTCCTGGGATGATTGGAAGCATCGATTGTATGCACTGGACCTGGAAAAACTGTCGAAATGCATGGTGGGGAGTTTATGGGGACAGAAAATGAGCAAAAAGTATCATTTTGAAGGCGGTGGCTTCATTTGATACATGGATTTGACACGTTTTTTTCGGTGTTCCGGGGGCTCAAAATGACCTCAATGTCCTTGCCCAATCCTCAGTGTTCAACGATGTCCTGCAAGGAAAATTACCCAAGGTGGTCATTGTTTGTCAAAACAGTGCCACGTCCGCGAAGTGCAAAGGAAAAACACTTTGCAAGCTGTCAAGAGGGGTGTAGGAAGGATGTGGAACGTTGTTTTGGTATCCTCCAAGCTCGTTGGACGATTGTAAGGGGTGCTGCCAGAATGTTTGATTTAAAGTCGCTTCGATCCATCATGATGACGTGCATCATTCTTCACAACATGATTGTGGAAGATGAGTACGATTATGATGCCGTTGATGAATATGAGCCAGACACAATGAACAATTCCATAACACAAATATATTGTGCTCATGACGCCATCGAAGAACCTTTGCAACACGAGCCATTACAAAGGGGTGGAAGTTACAATGAAAGGCTCATTCAGCGATATACTGCGATTCAAGACCCATATCTGCACAATGCTTGGCAAATTGACTTGATAAAGCACCAGTGGGAATTGAAACAAGCTCAAGAAACTTAAGTTCATTTAGTGTGTTTGTTTTTATTTGGTGTGTTTGTTTAATTTTATTGGTGTGTTTTTTAAGTTCATTTAGTGACTTTTTTTTTTTATTTGGTGTGTTTGTAATTTTATTTGGTATGTTTATGTAATTTTATTTGGTGTGTTTATGTCATTTGAATAAATATACTCTTAGTTTAAATAAATTACCAAATTAAATAAATATACTCTTAGTTTAAATAAAGTACTAAATTCAATAAATTGAAACAACATAAAGTACTCTATTCAATAAATAAGAAATTACAACCCAAAGCGAACATGTGGCCCAACCGTTGGTATGAGAATTCAAATTTTTTTACTGTTGGGAATCCTACGGCCTAGAAATATAGTAGTTGGAAATCCAACGGTTGAGAACAACCCACATCGCCCCCTTTTAGAAGAGTCCGAGTGCGCCTGCAAGTGGGCCCTGCCACCTGCCTTTGGTCGGCTCACTCGCCATGTTTCGCACGTTAAAGTCACGGGCCTGAAGCAAACAAAAAAATATTAATAACGTGGATGATCTTAGATAGCCTCAAAAAAGGCCTCATGCCATTCTCACCCGACTGCCTTGCCCGTTGGAGTTGGGTCCACTCATTCGGTGAGGAAATTGGCATGGGCTGGAATGGGGATTCAATCACCGTGGGGCAATTTGTAGGGTGGGATGGGATTGCTCTTAAGGCGGGCAAGGGATCAATACCGTATACTGCGCTGGTATACGAAAAGAACAGATAGGAAGACGCTCTTTCTCTCCGTCTCAGTCTCATATCCGACGACAGACCGAGCAACCAGGTACTCGATTTGCTTGAATATATTTGCTGTAATTAATTAATTAAATTTAGTTAGGTAGGTTAGGGTTTGGCTGCTCTCTCAGTTTGCTTCTATTTTTGTAGTTTAATTTTAATTCAGGGTTTGGTTCTAGCAGCTAACATGGATGATGAACCGATTTTTTTGGGTTTTCTGAAACAGGGTTTATTTGGCAACCAACGAACGAGTGAAGGCGAACACAGGCTCGATCTCATCGATTAGGTAAACGTAACTCTCTCTCTCTCTCGTTGAAGCAATTTCAGGTTTGGTGTTTGAATTAATGTTCCAATTTTCAGTTTTGGGGTTTGAATTAATTCTCTAAATTTCAGTTTTGGGGTTTGAATTAAGGTTCTAATTATTATCATGAGATCCATGAAGCAATTTCGGTTCTTAGGGTTTGATTGGCAACGAATTGTATGATTAATACTGTGATTGATATATGTATCAGTGCATTGCAGAGGTAATCGATGGAGGCTGCTGGCGATATCAGTGCTCGCAAGGGAGTTACGGTTGGTGCTGTGTCCGCCCTTGTTTCCCAATATAACAAACTATCAGTGTGTAACACCTCGGAGCATCTCATAAGTACTAGAAACTCTACGGGCAAGGAGGAGGACGAGGATGCACATCAACCGAGCTATAAGGCTAAGAAGAAGAACAGATATCTGGCTGCCAAAAAGCCGGCCTATCGTTCACCAAACAAGAACAAGGCGGCCTATCAATTTCCCGCTATGCCACCATGGCCATGGCCAGTTGCTGAGGACATGCCTGTTGATGAAACCCCCTTTCCCGAATGTCTCTACCTTTTGACTGATGGTGATGGTCGCAAGATTGCATTATCTGATGAGCCTTTTGACTTGGAAGATTTTTATATGCTGATCTAGAGAAGGCCGATGCCAGGACGAGGGAGTACCTGATCTGGAGGGAGGAGGAGAGGGAGAAGGAGAAGGAGGCTAAGTGCAGAAAGCCGCGAGGAACGAGGCTAGGAAAAAGGCGGGCCATAATTCGGGGTCTGGCGAAGTGACCCTACCCTTGAAGTAGGTAGGAGGAGATTGTGTAACTTCTATGGATCGACACAAGGACTTGTCAAGGAGGTAGTCACTTCTAGCTAAGATATGTAATAAGTGTTTTTACTTGTTCGTACTGTATTTTCGGAACAATTTGTAATGTTGACGTTAAGTGTATATTCGATAGCATCTATGCCTCAAATTATTTACTTGTGTTTGGCTTTTGGCAAGAAGACTTTTTTTTAGTAGAGGTTTAGTAGCATAAATAGGTTAACCGTTGGTAGGCTTATAGCAAGCAGGCTTTTTTTTCTTTTTTTGTGGAGAATATGATGATGGGGTGTGTCGTTCGTGTGTGTATCTATCGACTTATGTTCCCAACAGAGTGCCGGTTGCTGCTTAGTAGGACTCTGTTCATGGTTTTCTCCATCCCCTCCCCTCCCCTCCCCGTCCATGCACGGGTTTTGATCCCCGCCCCTTCAGATACATTTTAATGGTATTACAATGGCACCCGGTCGTCCATCTCCTCCGTATGTCATCATCCCACGCTTTCAGTTTCAGTTTCAGTTTTGCCAAGTGCTTGAACATCTTCCTCATGTTGGAGTGTGAGAGAAGCTATGGGGCGTTGGTTCATGTCTAAATTGGCAGCCAGAACGGATTTCATTTCCAAGCATGTAAAATGTCCAACACAAATACATGAAAGTAAATTTAACGATGATTTTTTAGAATTTCCGTTGTGGCCTATTTTAGTGACAAGGGAATAAGGGGTTGCGACAAGGAGAGAGAGAGTGGAGAAAGTGTAGGAATTTCTCTGTGTGATCAAGCGAGTATACTTGGATTGTTCCCCTGAGTTTGACATAATTCCAAAGAGAACTAACAATTTACAACTCAAAAAGTTTACGCATATCAATTCCTTGAACAAGTTTCTGAAACGTCGTCTTCGGCAAAGACTTGGTGAAGAGGTTGGCCAAGTTGTCCTGGGAACGGATTTGCTTGACTTCAATCTTCTGATACACTTGTTGCTGATGTGAGGAGAAGAACCTTGGCGCAATGTGATTGGTGTTGCCTCCTTTGATGTATCCCTTCTTGAGGAGAAGACTTTTATGGATCGACACAAGGACTTGTCAAGGAGTTAGTCACTTCTAGCTAAGTAATGTAATCATCAGGTGTTTTTACTTGTGCGTATTGTATTTTCGGAACGATTTGTAATGTTGACGTTAAGTGTAGCATCTGATGCCTCTAATATTTACTTATGTTTGGCTTTTGGCAAGCAGACTTTTTGTTTTCCGTTTTGAGTTTAGCGTGCATGGCCAATTTCAGTAGAAATGAATCCTGATTTCTTGGATTCAATCGATTGCACTACTAATGCAGTAGCCAGTAATCTGTCAATTAAAATTGTTTGACATGCGCACGACACGACACTCTTTAGAGAGTAATACAGTTACTCATCCATAAGCTCTTAATATGCAAGTTACGTGACTTAAATTGTCGAAAAATTAAACATAATAGCTTCCAATCTAATAGCACAATTGTTGTCGGAACGTTTTTTTAATCACTCTCTCTCCCAAAACCTCTTGGAAAGCTACATTAAAGGTAATAAGTATTTCATTAATAAAATAAAATGAGGAACATCATCCATAAGGAATACATTTTCATGATTACAAACCCGACAAAAAACACAATACAGTTGCTATCTACATATATAACCACCACATCTAACCAAACAGAAAGATAAACGCTCACAAGGAGACTTATGTTCGGATGACCATATGAGTACTTGAAGGCTTCCTCTATCCTCATTAGCAACTACACAACACTTTCTTGGTATAGTTCGCCTGGTGGACTAGAATATTGCCAGAACAATGTTCGATCTTGAGGCCGAGACAATATTGAGTTTTCCAAAAATTTTTTAATCTCAAATTTTGACTTGAGGTGCACCACAATTTTTTTTCTGGCTCTTTAGGAGCCCCGTTGAGATTAATGTTATCGACATAAACTTCAACTATCGTAAATTCGAAATGTGACTTGATGATAAACACGCAGAGGCATATTTTGTTATACGCAAAAACCCTCGCTCTACGCAAAACACTTCTCACGCACCCAACCCTCCTCCCCGTCAACATATCTTCAGTTTGGATAAGTAAATATCATTGTCTTGACAACCGGGCTATATCTTTAGTTTGGATAAGTAAACAACACTGAAGTCATAGAATCTAGCAACATATAAGCACCTTCAATTTTGAAAAGTAAGCAACAATGCTTCTGGGTGGTTGGTTATATACCAAGTCTCTGGAAGCGAAGAGCTCTCAACTTTTTCGCCCAAAAGATGTCACTTCAATAACTTCCAAGTGAAATGAGGTGTTTTATAATTAGTTACTCTTAGATGCATTTCATAATTCGACGTACAGAAGACCGACTAATGTTCACTACTATAAAGACACATACCATTTTACCGTGAAAAAGAATAGAGAAAAACTAATTTAGGAACCAAATGGATTACTCAAATACAATTGGAAATCCGAAGAGGCCTTTGGAAAAGTTTCCTTAAAAAGTAAAAACAAGAAACTAATAATGTTGAGTTTTGCGTGCGGAATACGAAAAATGTAATAATCCAAACCATTAATGGTTTCCCACTTCCCAGTCCAGTCCCAGTCCCATCCACTGTACCGTCTTCTCCGTCATAAACGACTTCGTGGGTTGAGGGTCACACTTTAAACCCGACCCGCCGCCTCTTATCACCACCGCCAGCGCCACCGCAAGAAAATGAGCAAGAGGGTGTCCGGTCCCAAGCTGAGGCGTATGTATTGGGGTTTGGGTCGACTCCGGTCGATTCTCATGGCGACGGCGACAATTGACATTGCTAATTTGCAAGTGTTTGTAGAGGTATTTATTTATTGCTCCTCCTCGATTCTCATGCTAAATTTTAGTTTAAAGTATGAAACTTTTTCATGTTTTCCTTCCTGTAATCTCTCTCTCAGCAACAATTAGTTTAATATTATCAATAAAAGTTGTTTTGGTGTAGGGAATTGATGAGAGAGAGAGAGAGAGAGAGAGAGAGAGAGAGAGAGGGAGAGGGGTTGAAAGCTTGAAGCTTTTTAAAAAAAATTTCTCGCTTATTTGTAATGCAGAATGGAGGACGGACATTGCTGAGCTATCTGGGCCTGACTTTCGAGGTTTGCATTACATCGGTGGATGGTAAACTAAAATCTGCTGGTCGACATTGTTCTCGCCTGCAAAGTACATGGCTTTCGAACTACATATGGACAACCTAAAGCTAGCGCTCTCGTATACTTGTCCCCAGAGACCTTGCGGTTGCGGTTTCAGGTGATTTTTTTATACTCAAACGTCCGATGACTGATGGCAAAGGTGGTGCTGGTGTTGTATCTGATGATCCACTTTCAACAACTTCAGTGCCTTGTTCTATTTCTGCTTATGGGTGTTAGTGGCTGCTCTAGAATTGGTGGTTACTTATGAATTAGATTTCTTGAGTATTTACTTGCATTTGTATCTTCTAAATCTTTTGTCTATACCTACTTTTTGTCTTGTGTTGCTTGCAGCATGAGATAACTTTTGCTTCTAAGATTAACTTATTTTTGTTCCAACTTCGAATGTGGTGCCGGTTGATGCAGGTTTGCCGCGAAGGAAATCTTCCTCCAGATCCCCTGCCACTGTTCAACTAGAACTTGGTCTGGTTGATACATTTCTCAGATTTTGTAGGCTTGGATGGCAAGCTGGCTGGTTGAAATTGATTTCAGTTTCTTTTGTCCTTTGCTCCTCACCCAACAGAGTTGAACAGATACTGCTTTATTTTGGGTTCGAACATGTAACAGCTGCTGCTGCCTCTCACAGTGTTGGTAAACTTATGGGAAAAAAGCAGATGGGGCACCTTTCGCGAGTCATAATGTACAAAAACGTCAACCACTACCTATTTTCCTTGAGCTCGTCCGAGGCCCGTTTATCTCTAGGGTTACAATTCATTGATTTCCTTGGCGGGAAAAGCTCTCTGCGGTGAGGGTCCTATTAGCAGTGCACCTTCATAATATTACCCTTTGTTGCATTGCATATATGTTCATACTTTCTTTGTCCATTTATGTTCTGTCATAAAGAAATCTGACTTCCACAGTGAAAGTGGAAATTATTTTTATGAAATGTTTTTAAACTGGAGAAGAAAAAGTTTTCTTCATTTCTTTGTATTTTGTGAATTAAATTTCATCAGTTAATACTATAATTGTCTTACCTCCCCGCACAGGATATCTGCAAACAGTTCAACTTGAGCTGAGAAAGTCCTTAGCTTGGAGGCATTGCCAGATCCTATATTACATGTTTGAGAAACGGTTGATCATTTTTTAAGCAAACCACGAGGCAGTAAAAGTAATTTCAGCTTCGCATCTCTCTTGGGTACCACCAATGACATCGAGTGAAGAACAGGCCGCCCTGGTGAATTTCTTCCCAGTGCTACCTTGCTCTGTTTATCTGCTTTTCCACATAATTGTGTCCAAGAAGATGCTGCTTTAGTTGCTGAAGAGCTATCTGCTATGAATTTGAATCCTTACAGCCATTCACTTCCCCTATTCGGAGCTCTAGGAAAGTTCGTCTTAAAGAGCGACCGTCAGGTAATAGTTATATTGGATCCTCCAATGCCGTACACATAATATCTTCCATTTGGTTTAAGATCTGAAATTCTAATGCTATGAATTGTTTGGCCTCATTTAGTCAATATTTCCAAATTTTGAGATACCGTATCATTTTCTTTTGACATAAAAGTAAGTAAATAGATAAATAAAAAGATTTTAAAGTGATTTCAATGAGAGACGTGAACGAAACTGGAAAGTTTTCATAAAGATCTGCGTACATTTATGTACCAATAATGCATCGATACCTGGTGTAGCACGTGTGAGAAGTGTGTCAATTCGCGAAAATAAATTATTGCACCTTCTGACATGCTCTATAGAGAACCTTTTCTTACTGACTACTGGATTTGTATGATAGTATTCCTGGTCTTGTCTATTTTGGCACTATACACAAATAGGATGTATTGCTATTTGGAGTGTATGCAAGAAGGGAGGGGAATACTGATCATGCAAGAAGGGAGGGGTCTTCATTTAGCACGGCATTTTCATCTGTCGAGTGTTGATGGCTTACTTTGGTAAGGTCTCTAGATGTTTATTGAAAATATGTTTTATTGTATATCAATTTAGCTACTGATATTTGTTTCATAATTTTTTTTTCTCTGTCCAATATGAGTTTTTTTTTTTCGTGAGGTGGTTAGACTTTGGATGTATTGTGTTTATTGGGAATGACTAGAACTTAGATTTTCGCCAATTTGGCATCAGAGTCGTTGAGGGGTTAGCTCTTTCTTTCGTCAAATTGATAATTCCTTTCAATAATCTTCAACCCTCTGTGTGAAGGTTTGTCATGGACTTTGTTGGCATTTAGACATTGTGTTTACTTTAATCTTCCACTATTGATTTGAGGAGGAATTACGGTCGGATGCTTCGCTTCTATAAATCTGGGATGCTGAGACGGAACTTGCCAACGAGCATGGCGATGGGTGTGAATCATCATTTCATGCAATGCATATTTTATTTTGCTTAGGAAGTGGTGCAATATGAAGTCTGCAGAATGTCAACCATTGGAATTGATGGGAGCACGGCAAGGTTTCATGGAAAGAGTAAGGACAGTACAAATGGCACGGGTGCAAGGTGGTATACATGGATGATCAGTCGGTTGCTCTCATATGTTTCTGATGCTTTTATTTGAAGAGTTAACCTCTGGATCAGGCTTTTGCAATGGTGCTTCCAGGTAGTTCTCCTGTGCGTCTCCTCATGTCCTGTAGTGCTAGTAAAATTATATTTGATTCAAGTAGCTTTACTTGATCCTGTCAGTCATATTCCGTAGTTCTGCTGCTGTGTAGAAAGGGTGTCTTTTGAGTAGCATACTTTTTAAGTAGAGTAAATAGCGTAGGTGTTAGCGGTAGGGTATTGAATGCTTTAAATTTACTAAAGAATTACGAAAAAGGGTTGGTGAAGGTATGGAATCTCAATCTCATAATACGCATGCGTTAGTAATGATGCCGAGCATCACTTTGATGGCATGTTTACGTAAGGGTAATCGGAATAAAGAAAGGGAATTGAATTCCGATTACGGAGTATTCTGGTGTTTACTAAATATTAAGGAATCAAAAAAGTGGTGGAGCCCACACGAAACAAGGAATCCAATTCCTGAAATTGGAGGAACCGGATTCCCTAGTTTTGTGAGGTATTTGAATTCCCTAAGGGCAAGGGAATTAGGAATGCATATTTTATTCCAATTATGCCCTCACTTGTTTCTTATTATCCCAACATTGCCCTTCATTTGACACTCATTATGTCATTTTTAATAAATAAATAAAAACCTATTTATATTTTTTTTATAGATAATTTTATTATATAAATTTAATTAAGAATTTAATTTAATTAATTAGTATGAAAATAATTTATTTATGTAAGGGCAATTTAGTCATCAACTTAGTTTTCATTCCGATTGAAGTGAATTAGTAAACAACTTATATAGACTCAATATCATTTTTGTCATCTTTTAATAAATAAATAAAACCTATTTATACATGCTTATATAGATGAATTTTATTATATAAATTTAATTAAGAATTAAATTAAATTATTAGTATGAAAATAATTTATTTATGTAAGGGCAATATAGTAATCAACTTAGTTTTCATTCCGATTGAAATGAATTAGTAAACAACTTATATGGACTCAACATCATTCCTACTCCGATTCCTGACAGTTTTAGTAAACAACTTCAACAGGAATCTGATTCTGATTCCACCTCATTTCAATTCCTCCTCAATCCAATTCCCCCTCAATCCAATTCCTCTCAATTTGATTACGGATTAGTAAACGCGCCATTGTATTAATACGTGATGTTTCCTTACATGGCTGGCAATGGCGATGCCGAATATGCAGGTTGGCGGCGGCGGGTGGACGTTGAGAATAGAATTTTGTTACAGTGGCTGTACTCGACGGACGGAGGCTGCAGCTGGTGGTGGTTGAAGCTGTGTGTGTGCGTGCGTTGTCAATGATGTATAACAGAAACACAGATTGAATTAGTTGCTTAGGAATCTTGCTATCTGTGACTATACACAAACACAGTACGTGTTGAGCCAAAATCATGCATCCATCTTGCATTAACAACAGACGGCAGAGGCTTGAACGGAACAAAATGTTGCAAATAACCAAAATCAAAGTATATCCAAACTGCCACTACAGCGTTTGTTTTTAACCAAGAAAACATGCCTCCGATCCCATTTCATTATGGAAGGAAAAAAAAATGAAATAAAAATACAGCATTTATAAATTTATGTGGGTTGATTGTTGTAATCTCAGACTTGGCAATGTATGTTTTACAAGTATAATTGAGCATAAAATAATAATAATAATGATAAAAAAGAGGTGTTTGAATTAAATTAATGGAGACGAAGGAACCTTTACAAGTTAGAAGGAACGATCCAACGAACGAACATCATCTCTCTCTCTCTCTCTCTCTCTCTCTCTCTCTCTCTCTCTCTCTCTCTCTCTATATATATATATATATATATATATATAAAGTGAGAATCTCAAATAGGTGGAGCTTTTAATATTTCAATTATGTCCTTACTTTGATAGAGAAAATAATTAACAACTACCCAACAAAATAGGGACAAAATAGTAATATTGTACAATTTAGAAATCAAAATTTGATTAAAACCTTAATAATATTCAAAATTTGATCAAGGTCTCTTGACTTTGTACACCTCATTATATTACTATTAATATTTATATTTTTATAGTTTTGACATTAATTATTTGATATTTTATAAGATTTATAATCCTATAAATTTAAAATCCCTCATTATAATACGATTAGAAACAGTTACAATAAAAAAATTCAAACATTTTGATTGAATAAATGGATAAAAACTATGTAAAAATAAGAAATAATAAATGGCAAAAGAATGTATCCATAGTGTTAAAAAAATTGGTACATTTTACAAAAACATTGGTACATTTCACATACAACAAAGTGGTACATTAATAAAAAATAATGGGTACATTAGAAATAAATTAGGGTACAGATAAAAGATTAAAAATTATGAATACAAATGAATTTTTAAAAATATAGGCGCTAAAAAAAATTAATACATGGGTACAAAATAAAACTAAAAAAAAAATACTACAAATTAAAAAAAAATGTTGCAAATTAAAAGTGGATACAAACTAAAAATATAAATATATGATACAAAGTTTAAGCATAAAACATAAATATACCATATGTAATTTTTCTATCGTTGATTAATTATACAATGTCTCGTGAGGGTATACACATGGTTACAAACACAAATAAAACTTCAAAAAATATGGGCACAAAAAGAAACTAATATATGGGTACAAATTAAAAATGAAAAGAGAATTGGTACAAATTAAAAAATATTTGCAAATTAAAAATAGGTACAAACTAAAAATAAAAATATATGATAAAAAATTTAGCCATAAATATAAATATAATAATTGTAACATTTTTAACATTAAAGGAATATATTTAAAAATAAAAATATTTTATTATTCAAATAATTAATGATGTTATTAATACCTAAGAACCTTGATCAAAAATTGAAAATGAATAGGATTTTAATCAATGGAGTAACAAAAATAAGGCTGTGAACCTAATTTTCCCTTCAGAAATCAAACGTGGAAGAGACAAATTCCACCACGTTTGCAAATCGGTTTTTTCTCAAATTGTTAGATTTCCTTGCCGAGGGGGATAGGCGGAGGCCATTCCATCAGTTTATATCTCAAACTGCAGATATCCCAACATAGGCCATTGGTAAAGGTAGCGGTACTGAAGAAGCAGAAAAAACACGTATGTGTATAGCGCAACAAGTCATACGGTTTCAAACTGCCACTACAGCGGTGGTTTTTAACCAAGAAATCGTGCCTCCAATCCAATTTCATTATAAAAGGAAAAAAAATGAAATAAAAATACAACATTTATAAATTTATGTGGGTTGATAATCGTAATCTCAGACTTGGCAATATATGTTTTACAAGTATAATTGAACATAAAATAATAATAATAATGATAAAAAAGAGATGTTAGAATTAAATTGACGGAGACGAAAGAGCCCTTACAAGTTAGAAGGAAGGAAGTAACGAACATCATAAAAATTAAAAGAAAGAGAAAGAGGGGGAGAGAAAGAAAAAGACAAAACCAACGATAAAACTCAGAAACAAAACAAGTCCACCAAAGCCCCCTAACCTTAACACAAGGTTTCTATCAGAGGAAAG